TCTCARTAGTCTCAAATTTGAGAAGATTTCTTACGCTTTCCCTCTTCACATGCTCATGATACATCTTCCACCAGTGAGCTCAGGACACAGCTTCTGTAGTCTGATTTTGAATTTTGAATTTGAATTTTTTAACGGGGAATGTTTGTGTCAGTGACGTGAGAGTGATGAGATCTGCTGGGAGACAGGAAATTTCTTGCCTGAGGAGAACTGATTCCTGCAAAAATAGCAGTTCAGGCCAGTCTGTCTCTTGTCAGGAATAAGAGCATATCTGAGAAGACCAAATGATAGCTGGCACATTCTGATTTCTGAATGCTTAAGCTTATAACCTTCAAGCCTATTAAAGTTGCTCCTATTCTGCTTTTTATACMAGTACAGTTTTGCTTCTGCATCTTGAGTTACCCAGGGCAGTGTCCAATTTCTAGGTAAACATTTATTCATGCATTTTGCCACTCTAACTCAGAGTGCCTTTTGGCAGGTGTATTGAAATCCTTTAACACTAGGAAAAATGTCATTGGGTAGATACTGACAGTGGGCAACAGACTTTCTTTGTTAGCACAGAGCAAATGATCAATTATTTGAAGATTATACTTCAGTGTGGGCATTAGTGTTGGATTGAGGTCTAAAGATGGTTGAAAAGTTTTGGGGTTTTATAGTGAATTTTATATGGGGGGGAAAATACCTGTTTTCTGCAGTGAACCAACCTTACAACTTAGATATTTAGACTTAGAGCTCTGTGGTTTTGGTGAAAAGTTGGCTTTTTGGGAACAAGGTTAGCTCTCTTGCAGCGCTGTGCTCCAGGTCTTTGCAACAGGCCTTCATTCCTCTGGCCTTTGTGCTTCTTGCCACTGCAAGAGCAGTCTTGTCTGCCTTGACAGCACTGTGTTTGGCAACRGGAGGGACATTTATCTTGTGTTAAATCAGAATGTGCTGACCCAGCACCATGTCTTGCTGTATGTTTGTCCCTGCTTTACTGAGAGCTCAGATGGATTACAGCAAATATATTTAGTACTGAGGAGAAAAGTTCGATCAGCAAATGTGTGGTTGGTTTTCTGGAGGTGGTTAGGGAAGGCGAGGAGGCAGCTTCTGTCTGCAGGTTGTGCAGGTCAAGCCTCACTCTTGCTTTGGAGTCCTAAATAGTGTAAAAGTAGAGCCGGGCTCCCCTTCTGCCTTTGTCACCAACTAGGTGTTGCTCTGCTCTGAAGTAGGCTTGGAGTTGGATGGGTGTTTTCAGTGGGGATTCCAGTATTTTGTGTGCTAAATAGGCTGACGAGCAGAATGTACCAAACTCATCTAGTTGTGTTAGTGACTGTTGGCCAGTGCAATTGTCTGCAGTTGTTTGTGGGACGTCCAGGCCCGAGAATGACGTGGGTAACCAATGGATACTGATCTCTGATTTGCCTTTTTTTTTTTTTTTTCTATGGAAAATGCAGAGTGGGAAGCCACATATGTTAAGGTACTGATGAGTCAGGTCTTTTATTGTATCCACTAGTTTAAACCATGATCTGTGTTAAAGAGATACTGTGTTTTTAAGGTTTTCACTTTATTTTTTTTTTCTGATGCAGAGTAGTAACCACCCCCACAAAGAATGTCCCGATCAAACCTTCCCCTCTGCCCTGGGGTAGTTCCTCTTGCGGTGTGCCAGCCTAGAAGGCWCTTGCCAGCTGAGATTTCACAGCCCTGTGTCACAGGTATGAAGGTATGAAGAAATTCTGGGAGCTGTGAGACACCCCTGCAATGCCTGTAGGACTGCCCAAATTGCTCCAACACCCTCTATCAGGGCTTGGAGTGACAGGACTTCACTGCAGTGACACATGGATCACACAGAGGAACTGTGTAAGTGCTCAGCAGTCTGCTTTAGGGCAGAGCTGTGGCTGACGTGGAAATGAAGAGCTGCAGCCCTAAGGCCAGATGAATCTGCAGGGTCAGGTGAGCTGTTTGCTGGGGAGCTCAGTGCCAAGGCACACTGAGAGGCCAGCCCCACATCCCTGCTTGCATTCCCCATAAAGAGAAAACAAATATCACACTGGATCCATTTTACACTCTGAACATCTTGGTTATTTTCTCTGTATAACCAAGAAGAATCAATCAACATACTTACTCTGTTAAACTCTTTGTTTTTCTTCCTTAGACAATTTCATCTTTCTAATTCAATGAGATTGGTCATTATAGTAAAGGCAAGACCTCTCTTTCTCCCTTTCTTCCTTTCTCTCTTTCTCTCTCTCTTTCTCTCTGTCTCTCTCTTTCTCTCTTTCTCTCTCTCTTTCTCTCTGTCTCTCTGTCTCTCTCTTTCTCTCTTTCTCTCTCTTTTTTTTTTAAGATCTATTTGCCTGTGCCAAGCTTTCTTGGACAGGCAAATTCTATAAAATAAATATCAGATAAGGAAGGTACTTTGCTTGTTTACTTTCTAATGAGATATTGTAATCTTCTAGTGTGGCACAAGGTAAATTAAGCTTGTAACCCACAGATTGAGGACCAGGAGAATTCCAGAAGGTTTCTTTTTTCCTTTCCCTGTATGTGTATTGAGTATATATATGTTTATATATATATAAACCAGTCTCTTCACTGGTTTAAAAGCACTTCCAGAAGGTGACTAGATCTCTGGGAACATTACAGCTTCCTCAGCAGGGAAGCAGGCAGCCTGCAAAGTTACATGCATTGGACTGAGACCATGCCACCCTCRGGAACGGGAATTTATGTGTGAGTAGTCCTGGTGCCTGAGTCACTAGTTATAGGTCTTATTAAGCTAGAGATTTACAGCACTCTTAATAGCAGAAGATAATATCCGTTAGCCATGAAAACAGGGCCTCACGAGCGTGGGCATCTCCAGGCAAGAAAACACTGGCTCTGTGTTAAATACCTAAGTTAAATACCTAAGTTATGGGTTAATTAGTGCTTCTCAGGCATGTGTGGGTGTCTGTGATCTGCTCCTACAGCAGCTCTGGCTGCGTGTAGTTCTAAGCTAAATGTCATAGTGAGGCCAAGCCCAGAGACAGCCCTCATTTCTGTGGACAACTGGGATATCTTTCCCAAGAAACCACTGCAAATAGCCGGGGTGAGTCCGTGTGCTTTGTTTTGCACTGGGTTGTTTGTGTCTTTTATTAGCAGCTGAGGAGTAACATGATGTTGCTCGTGTGTTTGACGTGTCCTCACCTGCTCTCTGCTGTTTGCTGTGCTCGCCTGCCTGTCAGGAATTGCTCAAACATCTCGCACAGACCTGGAGCCTGTTTACTAAAGCCTGGCCCAGCCTGAGCGTCTGCTGCAGGGGAGACGTGCGTGTGTGCTGACGGAGGAGCTGGAAGGAGAGGAGCAGGCTGTACTGCTGGCGTCAGCAGCTGCCTTTACACGTGGGGATGCTTGGAGACTGACTGCAGCACCACATTTCTGGGATTCATTCATTATTCAGGACACTGTGGAAATTATARCTCGGCTGTCTGAGCTGCTGCACTTACATAAAGTAGTGGCATTTCCAAAATGGCTCTTATCTGGCCGTGAGGAAGCTAAAACCTTAACCTTAACCTTATAGCCTATATATAAAGTTTTAAAAGGCCCATATAACTTTGCCAAACCCAACATGTGATTCACATGTGATGCATTTTTTAGCCTGAGTCAAAAGTAAACTAAACTCCTTGCACTCCTGGCTGCCGTGGGGATGTCTGGAAACTTCTGTTGCTGTTTCCACGTACCCAAAAGGTACCAGTGACCTAAGGAGGGCCCCACTTTGGGGCCTGCTGTGGGGATGGCAGGGAGGCTGCTGCAGGAGGGTGCATCCTGCTGCTCCGACTGGGGTAACTTGTGTGAGTCGTAGCTTGTCGTTATGACTTGCTCTCCTACTTGCAGACCCAACTCCGTTTGAACTGGGCTCCCAGTCACTGCTGCAAATCAGTTTTTATTATTATTTATTTAATTTGTTTTTTTTTGGCAGATGACCTGTGCACAACTGCCTTGGCCTTGCTGAAGGTCGYACCTAGTATTTTGAGAACTACTGGGTGTTTATTGGTTTTAGCTTGCTTCCTGCTGCCCTCTAGTGAACAAAGTGGCTSGGTCCTGATATTCCAGCCTTCAGTGTATGTGCCTTACGGGGCTGGCAATTTCCCACGTCTGTCTCTTACAATTACCTATATGCTGGGATTGGATTTTGAGGCGAGAAGGAGATGTCTGGGTTGTTTTGGACTTCCGGATGCAGGCATGATCGTGAGCCTCTCCAAAAGTTCATTTCTTAATCTTCATTTGTCCCTGATACTGGTATAAACACCCACTTGCTTGTCGAGGCAGATGCTCATCAGAAGAAAATGAAGCATCCATTTGCAAGTGAGAGTATATCTTAAAAAATAAAATAGCTTCTAACCAAGTGACCTTTTTTTCAAATATGGCAAATACTAGTTTTTTTTTTTTTCTTAAGAAATTGATGAAATGTTTTAGACTTTGATGTTTCCTAGAGGTCTTGTGGACCAGTGGGACAGTCCCGACACAGCCTGAACACACAGACCTCCCTGAAGTCATGGCCAGGCCCCAGAGTGGTCTAGTCTGGTGGTTCCCATGAACTTTGCAGGGTTAACTTGCCAAGCATCTCTCTGGTGCAGTTGTGTTGAATATTGAGTGAGGAAGCAAAGTGGAAATCCACTATCCTATGTAAAGCAGCACAGGAAAACCCCATGCTGCCAAAAAAGAAACCTGCAGCAGCACTGCCTTAATGGAAGTGGAATGGAAGCTGGAAGTCTTCACCTTGCATCAATTTTTCAGGAGTGGGTTACATAATACACCCAGCCAAAAATAAATCCTGGGCAAGAAAAAGCGAGCTTTCTTTTCAGCCTGAGGAAACTAGTTCTATTTTAGGGAGAACTAGAGCACTGTATTTGTGATGTCTCATTTGCTTTCTGACACTTGCTTTTTAGGCTTCTATTGCTCAGAGTGCCTCTGTGAGACTGTGTGGATGTGGACAACCTGTGCTATACCATCCTTAAATACTTAAAAATGGAGTACCGAGGCCGCAGGTCAGTAGCCAGGGCAAGGACTTCCACCCACAGCCGAGGTGTGTGCCCAGGTCCTGCAGCTCTGTGCTCACCGGAGGGCTTGGGAACTGCCTGTCAGCTGTGCAGAATTTGTATATTTGCAGGTGGCTTTGAGAGATGGTGAGTCTTTTATTCATGTACTGCTTTAAACTGAGCCTTTGGAATACTTTACCCCTTACCCASCTCTCTAAGGGCAGAAAGAAACCTTTGATTTCCAATTTGGGATGCTCCAATTGAACTTTAAACCCTCTGTGAACATCAGACCGGTAGCAGTGTCAGCAGAGGGGTTGTTTCCTCTCCGGTGGCAGCCCTAAGCAATTGCCTGTGGAATTTATAACGCGATACAACTGCAACTTGCCTTCCCTTTTGGATTACCTGCTCTGAAAGAGGTGTTTTGTAGAAGTGCCCAGATGGGAGCTGCTCCCCTGCCTTGGTTCGTGTATGTATGGGCACCACTGTCTGCCCCTAGATGTTGCATCCATGGTGGGAGACGTGAGCATGGAGAGAGGAACCAAAAATACCTTGTTCCGTTCTTCCCTGTCCTTGGAAAAGTCCTTCTTTTGCACATTGTCTTGTCCGTTATTTGCTAAATTACATTTTTTTTTAATCTCCCCACCACCACCCCCTCTGCATTATCCATCTACAGCTCCCTACTGTAATGGACTGCAGGTAACGGTCCTTTTTATGCTAAGAAGTCTTCTCGCCACGCAGGGCACTTGAAGCAGTGTGGATTTAACTGCTCAATCAGGCTGCAATTAAAGATTAGAAACCCTAAACTTGTCTCTCCCCACCTTGGTGTCCTGTCCTCTCCTCATCACAACCCCTATATCAAGTGCTGTTTTTATTTCAGGTTATTTCATGGGTATTTTTATATTGGCTTTGCTTCCAAAGCCCTGCTGCCCCAGCTAAGCTGGGCTTTAGTGAAGCCTTTGCCCCATGTCTGCCCTTCATTGCTGTGGTTGTAGCTGTCACATTTTCAAAGCCTCTGTTTCCAGGCCTTAGGCTCTAGGGTCTGGCTCAGACTTGAAATGGCAAAACTAAAATGTGAAGAGTTTGGAAAGGTCAGCTGGCCCTATGAGTCAGACTTGGGAAAGAAATATCTGCGTTCAGTAACAAATGCAGGGATTTACTGAATGTCAGGGGAAAGCGGAGAGTTATCTGTCTACGTAAAGCAAAGACAGCAGAACTTTATTGGATTTCATGTCAAGGAGGCTGCACTAAAGCTTGTACCTGCTTTTCGGATGCAATCCAGCCAAGGTGATTATTCAATATATCAAAGGTATCGCTTGTGGTTTCTCCTAAAGCTCCATCTCGTGGAGATGCAGCGCTGTGAACGCTTTGGCTTCTGGCTGCTCGCTGTGAAACGCCTCATTCGTGATGCCGAAAGGAAAAGGGCAAAGCCTGTGAGCCTGGCAGCTGCACATGGTACCTGTGCATTAGATCCTGCTCATCTCTCCCCAGCTGCCTGCTGCAAGAGGAGCCTGGTCACTTGTAGAAGACCTGCAGCGCTGTGGGACCATCGGTGGGGTCAGCATCTCTTCGTTTTGCCTTGCTGGACAGCAGCAATGCAAGTCCCTATGGACCATTTCTCCCCTATCTTTATCTAAGCTGCCCTTCCAGTCCTGGCCTTTTGTTTCTCATTACAGCTTTCTGGGGTTGGCCGTTGCTGTGACCTAATCTCATTTGGGCTGTGGCAATTTCGTTAGGGCAATTGTTGGGAGGTGGCTGCGAGGCAATTTCGTGCATACGTTTGTGTCAGTGCTGCTTTATCTTCCTGGGCCAGTTAATGAGCCCTTGCTGCTTCAATAAGGGGGAATTAAATCCTGTCAATAAATGAGAAGGCTACTTTGTTCTAGTCTTAATTCTCCATCTTCTTATTTGTAGGTCAGGAACAGCGAATCCCTTATGGAAAAGGGTTGGACAAGTGTGATCTGTGCCTTTCAGCCATTATGTGTAACGGTACCACTAAATATCAGGGGGGCAAATAAGTATTATCAGGCATCTAGTGCAAGGCTGCTTCTGTATTTTGAGGCTTTTGGGCAGTTCTGCTCACTTTCGTCATTATCATGGATGGTTTTTACCACCTGCCCCTCTCTCATGGCTTTGAGCAAGCAATGAGCCATTTCCTTCACATGATTAAAATCAAAAGCACAGGGCAGAGCAGCCCTGCTCTTTCCCTGCAGCAATATTGTGCCTCTGTGCAAGGATGCTTAAATGTCAATAGGAAGGAGCCAGGCTGAATGAAAGCGCAGAGTTTGGTGAAGGAAAACAGGAAATTAAAGTGTCTGCAAGGCTGAAAGAGTCCAGTAATCCTGGGGAGAAAGGGATTTATTTAGTCTCGATATCTAATAAGCTTTGATTCATTTTGTCATTATTTCGAAGCTCTAGCAACAATTGCTGATGTTATTTGAGCTGAATGATGAAAGAAGATATAGTGATATCACTATCCTGGTGAAGACAGTGATAAAGGGAGTGATTTCCATGTGTGGGGAGCTGGACAGTCTTCCCTCTCTGCCTGGCACCCTGAGATAACACTCCAATTCTAGCAGCTTTTCCTTCTATTTTTTTCCAGAGAGGTTACACCGCTGTGCTAAATTCCTAAGTAACCTTCTGGTGTCATGGGTGACTTCTCTGTAATTACTTGGATGCGCTGAGGCTGTGATACCTAAGGGCAGGTCCTGGGGAGGAAATGCATCCTTGGACTGATGGACTTGGAGCAGCTTCCTTCCTCATGGCAGACTGAATATATCAATTCCTTCCTCTGCTCTCCTTAGGTGGAAACCCAGTAAGTGCCCCATCTTGTAGTGTTTTGACCCAGTAGATGTTGGGTTGAGTCTTTCATAGAGTTGAAAGACTCAACTSAACTTTCTTACATGTTGGTTGTCTCTTTCTTGCATGTCTAAACATGTACAAGGATGTACAAACATGTTAACAAAGATTATACAACCACATTTCAATCTACATCAAAGTAATGAGGGTGCTAAATGTTTGAAACATGGAAAGGTAAAGGAAGAAGTTAATTTACTTCTGAGGAGGGGTAAAAAATATCCTCACAGGATACGTTTTGGCTCTAAAATGTTGCAGAGAGGTGTGCAAGAACAGCTGTAGCACTGAGGCTTCCCCATTGAAAAATACCTTTTTCCTTGAGAAACAAAAAAGGGAATATGTGCCTTGAGTCCTTAAGCCCCTGATATAACCAGGGGGAAATGTAGAGGCAGGTTGACAGTTCCTAATACCCTGACATTTGTTTATGGCATCTTCTCATTAGTAGAGAAGATCTTGGTTTCTTTCTTGAGCGGTAAAGCTGTTCTCTGCAGCTTGGCATTATGATCTMACAGGGCAGATAAAGCAGATTTACATATTTGGGGTCATTTCTGTTGTGTTTTGCCATTTAGAGGCTGCACACCAAGCGACTGTCATAGTCCTGTGATGCAAAACCAGCACTGCCCTCCCCTGCTGTCTGCAGAGCCTGTCTTGGTGTCTCTGCTTGCAGGCTGCACTGCTTGTGTGTGGGTGATGGTTCTGCAAAAATGGTTAAAAATCCCGTTTTAAAGCGCCGAGGGTGCTGGCGAGGGCAGAATGATGAAAGAGCCCAAGGGAAGACAGTGGGTTGCAGCGCGCCGYGTGTCAGGGTGCGCTCGTAGCCAAGTGCTGCTCCTGCTGCTCTTTTATGTAACTCATCTTAGCTATCGCAGAGGTGGCAAACTGTCCTGGAGCTGCATAAATGAATCATCAGATAGGCTTTTATTCCCAGTTTGAGCCTGGCTTATGTAACAGACATGTTCCAGAGCACTCCGCTCTGAAATCCTGGCATCTCTGGAGCGCATCTGGACGTCTTGGAGAAAAGGTATAAGAGATCCTGAAGCACATGCATGTCCCAAGCATGTCAGAAATGTCCTAACTTGTTCAAAAATGGAGAATGTCACTGCATTAATGAGACTTACTTTTCTTTTTTTCTTGACCTTACTCTAAAAGCAGAGGGGTTTCTACCTTGCAGTTTGTCAAAACGATGTCCCATTTGACAAAAAAAAAAACATCTGGGGGACATTTGGAGGCCTAAGTTCTCTGTATGGAGTTCACATTTTGGGCATGTTTTTCCTCTTCAAGGGGAGGTTCTCACTACATGTGTTTTTTTTGTATCATTCCAACCTTTGCTCAGAGCTGAGTCATGTAGCATGACTGTGCTGGAAAAACAGAGCTTATTGTGCCCCAAAGGCTCTGCACTGACGATCCTCACTGAAGTGCAACAAGAGAGARCAAGATGCATCTGCTGACTGCCATGGTCTCAGATCACTTCTGAATGTATTTCCTGACTTGGAAGCTCTTTGGGATGTTGCTGTGAATTGGTAAAAATTGAATTGTTGCTGTGAATTGGTGAACGGGGGCCTCTGCACACAGGGTAGGAGGCAGTGGGTTAGCTATTACTGATGTGACTGTTAATTATTGCTGCAAAGTTATTGCTCCAGAGCATGTTGAGGGGTTTTATGCCCCTGTGCGGATGGACATAGATCAGTTGGCCACTTGCTGCTGTTCTGTGTCCTGTAGGTTAATCCTGTCTCAAAGAATTATATGAAAACTCAGATTTAAAATCAAAAGCAGAGGAGTGGGATGTGCCAATGTAATAGGTTCCCCAAGAGAAGGTGGGGTTGGTTATTTTGTAAAGGAGAATAAAGAGTTGAATGAAAGTACAGGGGGAAAAAATCTAGGGGTCAGTCTGAAACCTGGTTCTGCACATGTCATAAGACAAGACRATTAATTAAACCCAAATTCAAGTACTTTCTTTCCAGGTAATTAGCTTATGAGTCTCACTGCTGCAGGAAGCTGTTAAGACTAAGTAAGAGCCTAGCAGTGTTAAGAAAGGGATTGTATCTCTTCTCCCACCCCATAATGCCTTCCTTACCGCTCTGGAAGTCCCTTTTTGGCACATGGCAAAAGTGAGATGCTCGGATTTTATTGCACACAATGAATACAGGCCCTTGGGAAGAGGTCCCTGGGAAGAGGTCCCTGGATATCCTGCCCTAAAGCTGAAGCAGGAGGGATCCCAAAGGGAGCTTGGAGGCAGAGGAGAGCTGGAGAGCGCAACAGGGTAAATTTCCCTTTTGTCTCCTCCCCAGCATGGGCTGAATGTGTGTCTGGACAAATATAAGTGCTCTCTTGTTTTAACCTATGGATTATACACACTAAAAATACAGTACGTTGTGATGAGCCCTGAGCCAGTGCCCAGCCTCAAGTCCTTCATATGGTTCTCGGTGCACGCTTGTCCTGATTTCACCCCTTGAGCAGGTACGTCTTCCRGGACCACAGAGTGATCTATCATCTTCTCCTCTCTGCTGCTATCAGGACCTGTCTCTCCATGGTAGTAATTTCCTGAAGGGTGCAGTGGAGCAGAGGCTGGTCCCACTGCTCTCCAGGGCGCCTAATGAGCTCCCTCCTGGGGTCATTTCCCCCCCCACCCCGGTGCAGTTTTAATTACAACATAATGACGATGGCAGAAGATGCAAAATAGAATAACTGGAGAAATCTGTTTCACGCTGCACTGGTGCTTTGTAGCAGCATGCGCATTGCTGCCAACTCTTAYTTGACACAGTGGCTTGTCTGGTAGCACGTGCCTGTGAATTAGCCACAGAGCCCGTGGGGCTTTGCTAGTGGTCAGGGTTTGTGCTGGTGGGTTTCATCCCAACGTTAGAGCCTCGATATCCTCAGCCCCGMAGCCTTCACGTATCAAGGGAAGTATTTTGGGGAGGTGAAGGGATCCACCAGTGCTGTAGCTCTCCCTCGTCCACCAACTGTTGCTGATTCATTCCTGGGAAGGATTCAGCTCTTCCTCCTCAGAGGAAAAGGGGGATCCTTCCTCTTGAGGGGATCAAAGCAAAAGGACCTTGAAAGTTGGGGCTGGGTGCACGCTGGGCACCCATTGATGCCCAACGGCTCCTTAGTCCACGGAGGCCTCCCCAAATCCTCCTGCTCAGTGCCCAGTAACTTAACRTGGATGCTGTAGGGTTTGTATTTGCTCAGTATTCCGTTCATCAGTTTTATCTTCATCTTTTTAATATTTTTCCAAGCCTTTTCCTGAAAGGAAATGAAACAGTTCTCAGCGCGGGAGCTTGCGCTAGCTGTGGTTTACAGCAGGCATCTCCAGCATCAGAAGATGCTGACACTGGTCAGTAATTGAGTTCTGTGTTCTCTCAAAACCCCAAAGCTAGCAGGGGGACAAAATAAGCTGTGCAGGTGGCCTTCATAAAACAAAGGGAGATAAAATCTGGAGCTGTCACCGAATGGCTTTTACAGATGCGTCTGCTGCAAAATAATTACCTCTCCCGAGGCCAGTAAGTTAATCAGTGTCTTCTGTTTGTGTCTGCAGTGAAAACAATTAAAAGCTCAACTCCGATTTTTTAGGTAAACTTGCAGATTCTCTGATTTTCAGGGTAATTAAATTCATTTTGATGGGTATCGTAGTCCAAAGTGTTCCTGCTGGACAGCGAGCCCTCTGTAATGTAATTTACCTGTAGCCAGGATGTAATTTCTTC